TGTTTTACTGCTTCAACTTCAACACTATTGTATCAGGGGACTTGCCCTTGACTGGTCTCTCTCTAGAAGACACCATTACGTTCATGTAGAAACCTGTCCATCATGGTTTCCCACTTGGTTCCATTTTAGGACCCCTTTCTTTTTTTAATCCTGTGCATAATACACTTTTTGAAATCCTCCTCCATGTTACACAAAATATTCTTTGCCGATGACACTAACATTTCCTTTTTTTTTTTTTTTTTTTGCTGAGAAGACTCCAAATGACCTTAGCTTTTAAAAACAGACACCTGGTGGTAATGTAATAAACCATACATCATATTGTGCTTGAACAACAAAACACTTGCTTTAAGACTGGGGTCAGTCTTAAAATAAACATGTATCGAGTATCGTCACTGTTGGTTCTACACATTTCCTGGGTTTCTCAACTTCATATGTGTCATCTAAAAATCTTACGAAAACCTTTTCAGTGTGCTTGCTGTCCTCCCTGTTTTTTTCTTCTTTTTTTTTTTAACTTCTCAGCTTATAAAACTTTAAGACTCATCTACGCTACTGCAGTATCCTATGATGTAACACCTTTCCAGCTAAACTCAAAAGAAAAGAGCTGACATATCAGGGTCAAATGTCCAACTGCAGTAACTTTCCACTGTTGCAGTCTACTAATACTACTTAGTACTTCTCCAAATCAGATAAGGAATTGTGCAATTATGTTACTGCTATACTGATTTTGTTCATGATTAATATTTACAGGATCATATTTTCATATTTACAGGAGAAAACATTACCTTATTTTCAGGACTATAAAGTGCTCCAGAGTATAGGTCGCAAAAGCTAAAAAATGCATAATGAAGAAGTATAAGTCGCACCAAGGAGTATAAGTCGCACCAGTGCTCTCTAGCGGCTGTCAGTCTGAAAATAACAAACGTGAAAGTATATATTTTAATATATAAAGTCGCACCTCAGCATAAGTCACAAAGCCAGCCTTAGGATGAAAAAAAGTGACTTATAGACCAAAAAATACGGTACATTATTATTTGTCTAAACCTTAGCTAACTAGCTGATTTTACTCAATTTTTAAAAGCGGCCAGTAAACATGATGCTCTCGCTTTATTGATTTTTTTTTTTTTTTTGAGGCGGTCCAGTTTTGTTTTGTTTTTTTGCAGTAGGTAGTCCTACAGAAAGTACCAAAATTAAAAAAAAAAACAAAAAACTGGACAGAGTTTTTTACGGAATCTACAATAAGACTTGAAAACCAAAATGGCAATGTTGGTGAAGTGAAGAAATTAGTGACGCTAATCTTCCTGTCTGTCTGTCGCCAGTCAAATTTTAAAATTTAAAATTTTATATACCCTTTTCCAGTTTCTTTTAAACACATTATTCTGCTTCAGTAGTATTTTTTCCACCCTGTCACCTGCATTTCTCTAATATGTATTTCCTCTGCCCTTTTCTTTTGCCTATTTCCTTTAAAGCCTGTACCAAATTTGGATGACCTGGTAAGTGTGAAACGTTTGCAGAAGCTCAATAATTTGGATGGTTTGCTGTTGATTGTGTGAGCAACATTAGTTGCAGCATGTGGCCAATCACATCCATTGAAAATGGGGAGCAGTGTACCGTAATTTCCGGACTATTGAGCGCACCTGAATATAAGCCACACCCACTAAATTTAAAAAGAAAAAAAAAAATAGTACATATATAGGCCGCACTTCTCTATAATCCGCAGGTGTCCACGTTGTAACATGGGATATTTACAAATAAGGATTTTTTTTCACTAATTAAATAAACGTTTTTTTTCCGAACAGTGCCTTTAACACCGCTGCTTACACGATAGCTCTTTCCTGCTTCGTCGCCCCGACCGTAGTTGGAATGCACAACTTAGTGATCTGCTCCAGGGCTGAAGCTAACATTAGCTCCGGGGCTAACTCCTGTCACGCTTCAACATGACAGGGCTCAAACTGCTCTCAACTTTTGCGAGCGTTCTTTCTCTCTCTCATGTGCCCCACGCACATATACGCACGCAGCCATCCACAGACAGACATACGCTACTAGTATATCACACAGTACCTACCAGAAAAGTCATTGATCGCTAGCGGTATGAAGTTCGCTAGCCCGTAAAAATCCACAAATTAGCCGCATCATTGTTTAAAAAGTAGAGGCTTATAGACCTTATAGATTCGGTACCTACGAATTAGGGTTTTAACTTTAAGGAAAATAAAAATCTCAATTTTTTTTCACAGAGCCATAACATTAGCCATAACTCCTAGCCTATACCTTATGTCATCGTAAGTATCTTGTATCTCAGTGCTTGCCTGTGGTTTTTTTCTGCTACTTATTTTTCCGTGTTTGCTCTACTGCTAACAGTGAGGTCCATAAATATATTTGGGATGGTAGGATGGAATATTTTCATGGATGGTTCATCTATCACTATCAATGTTTTCCAAAATTTTTCTGAGCCGTGGCACATATTCTACATGAGAAAAATATATGTAATGAAAAACAGTATAATGTTCTTCTACATTCCTTCGACCTGTTTAGTTGAACACAACGCTAATACCATCACGGCTATTAAAGAAAGACACTCTAAGGCAGTGATGTCAAACTCATGAACTTTTTTTTTTTTTTTACTTTCAAAATGTATCAAGCGGGCTGACTTGAACCCCCTAGCTGGCTGGTTTTGGCCCACGGGCCTTAGGTTTAACACAGCTGCACTAAGGTCTTTTTACACAGCTCAGAGTCTCTCTTTTTTTTTTTTAGTTTTTCATTTCCATTGGCCACTACATAATGGAATATCCCAAAGCATAAAACATTGTTTAAGTCTTAAATAAGTCAATGATGACTTTAATGATGTGTTTCTATGTTGTGTTTTCTTCCAATTTTCCCATTCTAGGAGAAAGAGCTCAAAGCTAGCAAGAAAGAAATGTTAGCAGCTGCACGGCTGGACGCAGAAGTGAAACTTTATAAAAAAGAGAATGAAGCCCTCCGGAGGCACATGGCGGTTCTGCAGGCTGAGGTCTATGGCGCTCGACTGGCTGCCAAGTATTTGGACAAGGAGTTGGCTGGCAGGTAAAACATTATCGTTAGCATTAACTAAATGAAGATCTTGTGAAACATTGACTGATTGAGCAACGGACCGACGGACTTGGTGATCTGGTTAAATGAACGAAATGCAAGACACAACGGTAGCTAATGAGTGGGAAATATGGTGTAAAAGTTCATTGTCATGTCGACTAGTTTAAGATTTAGGTTTTTGGTTCTTTTTTTTTTCCGACAATTATGTTTTGACTAGTAATGTCCGATATTAATGTTTTGCCGATATCCGATATTGTCTAAACACTAAATTACCAATTGCGATTTCAACGGATACAGTATATGCAGCTGTGTGCTCCCAAAACTGAGGTTAGCATTATCAGAGGAAAAACAAAAAAACGATCCTTACAGATATCACATACCGTATTTTCCGGATTATAAGTCGCTCCGGAGTATAAGTTGCATCAGCTAAAAAAAATGCATAATGAAGAAGAAAAAAAAAAACATACAATTTGCACCATCCAGCTAGAGTGCCCTCTAGTGGCTGTCAGTGTGAAAATAACCAACACGTTTGAATTTACATGTTCGTTATTTTCACACTGACAGCCGCTAGAGGGCACTCTAGGCTTGTGTACCAGTATCTGCTACTCCTGTAAGTCACACTTTTTTCATCCTTTGGCTGGTGCGACTTATACTGCGGAACAACTTGTATATGTTTTTCCTTCTTTTTTATTGTTTTTTTTTGGCTGGTAAAAAAACAGGGAAAATAAAGTAGTGCGTTTTTGTATGAAATTATATATATATACATATATACATATATATTAAATAAAAACAAACTAGTATTACAATATCAAAATCATCTTAGTTCCGAAAGTATTTCACCAGTAAATTCCTGTTCTGTTTTACTGCACCGAATTTATACAGAGTTCTTACTTTTTAGGGTACAGCAGATCCAGTTATTAGGCCGTGACATGAAAGGACCTGCGCATGACAAGCTGTGGAACCAGCTGGAGGCTGAGATTCACCTTCATCGCCACAAGACTGTGATTCGAGCATGTAGAGGTCGCACTGATCCGAAAAAACCTCTTCCTTCCCCCGTGGGGCATGTGAGTGCAAATCTAAAAAAAAAAATTTTAAAAACACTTTACTCCTGGCATGGGCAAACTAAGGCCGCCGGTCCATCAAACTTTTCCAAATTATATAATTTATTTATATTATCATTATACTTCTGCCTTTTCCCTGCAATACCCACATTTACCCGATAGATGGCGTTATGTAAAAGTCATGCATACAGGCTAAAATGCTATGTCATTTATCTTAGTTCATATGAACGCTCCATCTATCTGGTTCTGACCGTGCCTCCCACCTCCCCCCCGGTTACATTTTTTTTTTTTCTATTCATGGCAAAATAAAACATGGTACAGGATCAAGACATGTTGAAGAAAACCCAAGGAGTTGGCCCCATCAGAAAGGTGGTGCTTGTCAAAGAGGACCACGAGGGACTTGGAATTTCTATTACGGTAGAAAATCCCAGCTTTTCTATCTTTCTCTTTCATGACACTGAATGTTTAGTTTTTTTTTGTTTAGCAGGTTTATAAAATGTCGTAAAAAAAAATCAACACGAGTTTAATTTCTTCCCTTTTACTGTCAGGGTGGCAAAGAGCACGGCGTTCCTATTCTCATCTCGGAGATCCATCCGAGTCAGCCTGCGGACCGATGCGGAGGTCTGCACGTCGGGGATGCCATCCTGGCCGTCAACGGCATCAATTTACGAGACGCCAAACACAAGGAGGCTGTCACCATTTTGTCCCAGCAGGTTAATCACGAAGCAGGAGCTGCATTTATTGCCATAAAGTTTACACAGCTATTTTTAACATGTAGCCTATATCACGGTCCTTAAACCCCCGGTTTGTGAACCGCTAACGGCTTGTAGCTCATTTCGTGCTGGGCCACCGTGCGACCCAGTGGAAAATGTACTTAATTTTTTTACTAGTCCACTTCATTCAAAGACAGTCCAGTTAGATCCATTTACCGTATTTTCCGGACTATCAGATCCAGTCCAGTCAGATCCATTTACCGTATTTTCCGGACTATAAGTCGCGCCAGAGTCGCACTAGCCAAAAAAATGCATACTGAAGAAGAAAAAAAAAAAACATATATAAGTTGCTCTGGAGTATAAGTCGCACCAGCCAGCTAGAGTGCCCTCTAGCGGCTGTCAGTGTGAAAATAACAAACGTAGACTTTCAGCGGTACAGGAGTAGCAGATACTGGTACACAAGCCTAGAGTGCCCTCTAGCGGCTGTCAGTGTGAAAATAACAAACATGTGAAATTATATATTTTAATATATAAGTTGCAAACTCAGCCAGAGGATGAAAAAAAATTGCGACTTATAGTCCGGAAAATTTGGTACTTTATTTAAAGATAATCTGTCAGTGTTTCAAAACAATAGGTCATTCAGACTCTGATAGTAACAGAACATAGAAATAAAAGATTTTTTTTTTTTGAAAATGATGAATTAATGATCCTTCAATGATTGTGGTGCTATCAGAATTAATTCTAGTACCATATTATATAATATCTGGTACTTATTATTTGTGTGTTTCTAATTGATACCGGATCGATATCATATGATACACAGACTATGATGTGACTAGCAGTCTGTCAAGTACTAAATTAGTCGTTGGCTAATTTTGCCGTTGACCTTTTGTCGACTAGTTCAGCGTTTTTTGTTTTTTTTTTCCACTGTGTCCCACTTTGGCCCGGTAACAATGATCTACAGACCAGGGACCCATGGACTGATTGACAAGTTGTCGCGACCCTAACATCTGACTCTGGATTTTTTTTTTTATAGAGAGGGCAGATAGAATTCGAGTTGGTGTACGTGGCTCCAGAGGTGGACAGCGATGATGAGAACGCGGAATATGAAGACGACAGTGGTCATCGGTACAGGCTGTACCTCGACGAGCTGGAGGACGGCAACATGGCACCAAGTGGCTCAGCATCACTGCAGGGTAAATTGAATCTAACTTCTAGTTTTAAAGTCTGGGTTGATTCCTTTTTTTTATTTCATTGATTTTTTTTGTTTGTTTTTTTTGTTTCATATTTTTTCCCTTTTTTGTAGCTAACTTTTAAAACAGAACATTTTTTAGTTTATTTGGTTAAATTTGTTTAGAGAACTTTTTTTTCTGACTTTCTAGTGATGTAGTGGTTCGGTCTATATTTTATATGTACATATTTAATCTTTTTTACATATTTATTTTATTTTTACTTTATTTATTGACATGCCCTCATTTTTTACATATTTATTTTCATTTTTTATTTTTTTTACTTTATTTATTGACATGCCCTCATCTGTCTTTTGTCAATTTTTTTTTTTTTTGCATCATTTACTAGCTTTACCAAAATACCAGCTGTTTTTGCTATCTTTCTGCAAATTTTTTTTCATGCTAATTCTCTCCTGTATTTAATCTAATTTTCAACTGTTGATGTAGTAAAACAAACGAGTCAGTCAGCCAGCAATTTTATACACTGCTCAATCTCTGTCGCAATTTTCTGTCTATTTAAATTATGATTATTGTGGAAAAAAAAAAAAAAAACCTGAGCGCAAATGTCAATTCACTCTGCAGCTCTGGAGAAGATGTCACTGAAGAATGGAGAGGAGAAAGGGGACACTGGAATCTCTAGTGAGACGACATCAGAAGAAACTCAATCTAAGGCTCTCGATGCGGTCAACGCCTCCTAGTGGCCACGCAAAGCCAGTGGTCTTCAGGGAGTTGGCAAAGGGTGGATCAACAATGTCTCTGATGAGCCAAAAGACAACAAACAAATTGAATAAGTTTTCTCTTCATCTTGTTAGCTCGGGGGTGGGGAACTTGAAGGATTTGCCCCGCGGTATTAGCCGTGGTCTTGGGTGGAGGGTGTAACGTTGGACTAATTTTTTATGATATTATATCTAGACAATCGGTAATATAAATGTGAGGACAGCTGTTGTTGCCCTGAAAATAAGTGTCGGTGATCTGGAGCCTTTGTTGTGAGACAAAGTCTCATCTTCACGCTTCAACAGGGAAAGTGATTTTTTTTTTTTTTTTTTTTTGCAAATCCGGATACCCAGAAGCTACAAACAGAGAAATAGAGTTAGGAGGATTAACTGTACCGTATTTTCTGGACTATAAGTCACGCTTTTTGGGGTTTGCGACTGCTGCCACCTTAACTGTAATTTCCCAGCCCCGGAGCAACAAAGTATATCTATCTTTTCACAAAAAACACAAAGCAGCGAGCACAGCCTCCATCATAATTCAAACATATGTCTATGAATTTAGTAGATTTGATGTGATTTTTATGCCATTAATTGTGACTAATTAATTATATATATATTATATACATAATATAATATATACAGTATATTATATATAGTATATATAACGTTTGTTATTTTTACTCACAGCCGCTAGAGGGCACTCTACGCTCCTGTACCACTGAAAATGTACGTTTGTTATTTACACACTGACAGCCGCTAGAGGGCACTGCAGGCTGGGCTGGCCCCATACACACTGACAGCCGCTAGAGGGCACTGCAGGCTGGTCTGCCAGTATCTGCTACTCCTGTACAACTGAGAATTTACATGTTCGTTATTTTCACACTGACAGCCACTAGAGGGCACTCAGGCTGGCTGGTGCGACTTTTGCTCCAGAGCAACTTGTGTTTTTTTTCTTTTTCATTATGCATTTCCTTTTTTGGCTGGTGCGACTTATAGTCCGGAAAATATTGTGGAAAGATATTCTCCCTGGCTTCACAACATGCACGTTGCTGGAGTAACCATTTCAAACAGAATGAGCCTGAGCCAAAAATATACAGTAGCTGGGGACCGTCAGATTCAATGAATTTTCATTAAGACCCAATGTTTACGAAATCTTGTATTAAGTGACAGTTTTGCCCAAAGCGTACACACTACCAGGAAAAGAAGTTTTCTAACCTGCCTCCGAGAGGCAAATTTATAAACACAAAGTCCGTCTTCGCCTCGTACTTATTTATGACTGTACATAGTCCTGCCGGTGTATGACTATAAAACCATTTTTCTGTAGTATCCACTGCGTAGGTTTAGCGAGTGTCAACGAATGTAGTTGACCTGTTATCCTGTCCAATGTAAAAATAACAACAAAAAAAAGTTAGCAATTGTTTTTTAAGTCTTAAAGAAAAGTCTAAATTATGAAACTATAAATGTGAGTTAGGGAGATTTTAAAAAAAACAAAACATTTCAGTTTTGACAAAAGCCAAAAATGAAATACAAAAGAAACTAGAGATTCTGATATAAAAGGCTTTTAATCTCATGTCAAGTTTTTTTGTTTACTGGCACACATAGGTTTTTATAACCTCATATATGATGTTTATACATTTAATTTTAAACTATTTTATTTAGTCTTTTAATAAAAATGTTACATGTGTTCATTTAAGTGTCCAATGTTTTTTTTTTTTTCGTAATTAAGAGAATCTCGCCATGATATTGTCTACGGGGGGCAAGGCAACTCGCAGCAGCCAAAATGAACAGTAAGGGTTCACTGAAGGCACAGGTGTAAACCAAGGGCGTCAAACATACGGCCCGCGGGCCAAAACTGTCCCACTTGGCGTTTCAATCCGGCCCGCTTGATGAATTTTTAAAAGTAAAAAAAAAAATGCAGAAACACTTCCTGTCTGTAATGTTTTTCAAATTATATTTAATTAAATATGAATATTTTCTAATATACTTAGGGGAAAAACATGGACTTAGGTATAAGTATGTAGGTATATCACTGACAGGGCTGTCAAACATACGGCTCGCAGGCCAAAACTGTTCCACTAGGGGTTTCAATCTTGCCCGCTTGATAAATTTTGATGTAAAAAAACGCACACTCACTTTCTGTTTGTGATGTTTTGTTGTTTTTTTTTCAAATTATATTTCACTAAAATATGAATATTTTCTGTATTTTCTGTACTTTTTTGCAGGAAAACAAATGGGGGAAAAACATGGACTTATTGTTATTTCCAGGTAGTTATGTTATGATTGTACTGGTCCAGGCCACTTGACATCCAATCGGGCTGTATGTGGCCCCTGAACCATGAGTTTGACATCCCTGGTGTAAACAATTCAACCATAGAAACAAAACAGAAAACAATAAACACAATGACTATATACACAATATTGCCCACTGTGTGGCAGAGCTGAAAGACATGAGGATATTGCACAACAAATACCATCAGTACATTATGAGGTAACTGTATGGATAGACAGTGCTAAGTGGTGATTATCAATTATTTTCAGTCATGTCCCCCCCCCCGACACCCATGCTCTGGATTAACACAACTATTCAAACCTAGTGGCCTTTGCGCTCGAAGATGCTCTCCCTCAGTTCATCGATGTCTTTCCTCAGCTGACAGACCTCCAGCAACCTGGACCTCAGCTCTTCCTTTACACCAGAGTTTCTACTTTCAGTCTCCTCCGCTGAAACACTTAACGCTGCAGATAAACAAAAAGAGTGCAAAAAGTTATCAGTATTATGCCTCGGTTCCGATGATGGCACTCGTTCAGGGTTGATGTGGCTACAAACAGGTTCTAAAAGTGGCCGTATTTTCCGGAATATGTCGCACTTTTGGTCTGGGTTTGCAACTTATACTCAGGTGCGACTTTTGTATTAAAAAATATAATTTTACATGTTTGTTATTTGACTGACAGAAGTTAGAGGGCACTCTAGGCTTGTATACCAGTATCTGTTACTCCTGTACCATTGAAGATTTACATGTTCGTTATTTTCACACTGACAGCCGCTAGAGGGCACTCTAGGTTTTGTGTAATAGTAGCTGCTACTCCTGTACCGCTGAA